TGGCACACGCCCACTCCCCCAGGTCATGAATACTGTGCTGGGAAAGGAAGCTGTCCAACCAGTTTTTCCCTCGTTCTGGATCCCAAGGGTGTGCAGTTTGGCCGTTGCCTGTAAATGAAACTGGGAGGGATTTTGGCCCCAAATGTGAGGACAATGGGACAGATTGGGAGAGGAATAGGCGTGTGTGTGTGTGTGTGTGTGTGTGTGTGTGTGTGTGGCGGGGGGGGGGGGGGTCCTACCTCGGTGTGTGGTTTTGCCTGAGGGCCCCACATCAGGGTGGGTGTCAAAGGCTGTAGGACATCCCAACAGAGATACTTATTGGTCGGAACTTTTGTTTAGGAAGTGACAGGCCACAGGTTCGTATGTGGATGCCCCTCCCTGTGTTGTTTGTAATGTAGAACAAGTAGGAACTGATTGAACTCCGTGGGTTGGACACAGAGAAATGGTCTTATGATGGTGATCTCCATTTTCAAAAGGAAGTGCCAATGTGCGCACATAGAAGCCGAGAAGGACACGGTTGGCCCCAGGACCTTTGCACTTGCTGTTTCTCCTGCCCGAGAGTCTGTTCCATAGGTGCCTGTATGTCTGATTTGCTGACTTCACCAGGTCCTCTGAGAAGGCCCCTGGGCCCCTCCAGGCTTCTGGAGCCCCACTGTGCATTTGTTGTGGTTGGGATCTCTTAGCACTGACCAGCATTGTGCTACTGACAGTGTTGGTTTCCCTATGAGTGTCTGTCTTCCTCACTTGCCTTGAGGGCAGGGGTGCTGGCTGTCATGCCCACTGCTGTGTCCTCACTGGCTTGGCACACAGTAGGTACTCAATAAATGTTTGTGGAAAGAATGAATGAAAATGACCACATGCTCACATTTCTCTCCAGGAGAGGCTGCAATATGGGCAATTTTTATATTCTTCTTTATGCTGATTTTCTCTAAATTTTCTGCTGCGCGCGCCTATTTTATAATTAGAAGAAAAGTTATTTTGAAAAAAAAATTACCCCCCAAATGCAGCTGCAGGGGCTGACGTGATCGAGCCCCATGCTTCTCCCCAAGGACAGTTCCTCCTGGTGCATATAGAGGACATAACTGCGCGTTCAGGAGCTCCTGGGGTCAGCCCTCAAGAGCACAGGGAGGGCTTAACAGTCAGGGAGGGCTTCCCTGAGGTGGCAGCTCTTAACCTTCATGGTGCTCAGGCCCAAAACCCTGGAGTTGTCCTTGCGTCCCTGCTTTAATTTATGCCCCATAGTCCTTTAGAAAATTCTGTTGGCTCTGCCTTCTCAATCTATCCAGAATGTGCCCACTTCTGCCCTGCTCCCTTCCTGTGCTCCCAGCTGATTCAGCCCCCTCATTGCTGGCCTGAATATGTGCAGTCACCTCCCCTTCTGGGACCCCCCTTAACCTCCCTACAGGATGTCTTTTGCAGGGGGAAAGGGGGGCTCCTGGGGAGCAACTTGAGGCAGGGCCCTGCCCCCTCCCCCTGCCCCATATCCCCTCCAGGGGCTCCCCCCCCTCCCAAGGGGGAAAAAACCCCAAATTCCTCCCCCGGGGGGCCCCCAAAAGGCCCCTGGAAAACCTGGCCCCTGTTCCCCTTCCCTGGGCCTAAACTCTCTCCCTTTATTTCCCCCCCCCCACTTAATTTTGTCCAAAAGAAAAAAAAGGGCCCCCCCCCTGTTTTCCCCCCCAA